CTCACACTGCAGGACGTCTTGAGAAGGGCAGAAACAGGAGGTCACTCCTCCCCCAGCCCCCCCTCCCCGGCCCTGAAACAGGCCATGCAGCTCCCACATGAAGGGCGCCCTCCCTGAACCAGGTGGAGGGAGGACGTTCTGGTCACCACAGGTGGGGACTTTGGGACCAAGAAATTGTATGAATGAGCCTTGTTAAGCTCACCTTGGTCTCCTGCTTTCTTCTTCGCCATCTAGTCCAGACCCCTTTGTCTTGTTAATTCTTCACACACTTATTGTTTCTTTGTCAAAAGGTGTAAAACCTTCCTGCTCTGGTCACTTCTTCATATTTTAATTTTCTTGTAAAGAAAATATACACAAAATATATAATAAAATTTGTATGGACTTCTGTTAATCTGCCTTTGCCAGTTGAATTTTCAGACCGAGCCAGGGGCCCTGCTACCACCCTCTCTCACTTGCTGGGCTGCAGCTGCCCCCTGACCTGCACCGCCGCCCGCACTCTGGCTCCCATCTAGGCTTTTCTAGCACAGCATTCAGAATGATAGTTTTAAAATTTAAGTCATGTCAACCATGACTTAAGATCATGTCAATCTTATATTCTAAAGCCCTCTAATGAATTCTCATTGCACTCAAAACCCAAAATGTTTATCATAGGTTAAACATCCCTGCATAAGACATTGCAGAGTTAACTGTCTACCATCCCCCTTGCCTTACCTACGCGGCCCCATTACTGCTCCGCCCCTGCACCGCGAGCACCATTTACCCCTGCATTTACTGCTCCCACAGCCTGGAAGTTCCCCTCCCCTCCAGCCCTGGGGTCTGCATCATTTGTTTCCACATGTCCTTTAGATCTTCAACCAAATATACCCTCCTTGGAGGCCTTTGGATCTCGTGGAACTGAGCTCTGTGAAGACAACCCTGCCCAGTGCAGACCCACTTTGTTAATCTACTTTGTTTCATTTTTTTCAGGCCACTGATCACAACCTAATATTCCATGTATTTGTTTGTTTACTGTTTTCATCAAGGGCGACTTTTTCTGTTTTGTTCACTGTACTAAATCTAATGTCTAGACAGTGCTTAGCATACAGTAGGTGCTCAGTATTTTGGGATAGCTGATTGAATGAGTCAATGAATGAATCAGTGAATGAAGGCATTTTAAGTCTCAGCACTACCAGGACATGGTTCACATTTACCTGCCTCTTCCTCCCCGCCCTTCCCCTCACTAAACATTTAACTTTAAATGAAAATGTCCATTTGTGCTGGGCACCAGTAATACAAGGTAAAAAAGACACTTAGAAACAGACTAGAGAAAAGTAGACATCTACTGAAATAAATGCAACTTATCATTAATACTAACAATGGAACAAAGTATCTGGAAAGTCTAGGGAAAGAGGAAAAACAGCCTGAGGGAAGAAAGATGCAAAAAGGAATGAATATGTGGCAGATGAAGCTGTTGATGCAGGTAAATACTTCATAAAGAGAGAACAGGACCAACCAAGGCAGCCAACCTGATTGTAATGGTTGATAGGATCTTGTAACACTCACTGGAGTTGGAAAAAGCAAGTAAAATCAATGCAGAAATTCAAGCAGGCAACTATAATTTGGTCTCTGACCAATTTATATCCTTTTTCTCTCCTTCTTATCTTCATCATCCTCTGCTTATTGTTTTTAGATACAGGTTTTCAAGGGATCTGACATGGGAAGATGGATTTTCAGGGTCAGAAAAGATCAAGGTCATTTGGAGTACAGACCTAAGTGGCATGATATATTTTTAGGATTCCCCTTCTAATATCTAAATAATTGATTATATGCTGAAAATAAGGTGTTCTATAAAATAGAAAGCTCTCTGGAAATTTTCACATTTAGTGTGACACATAATTGGAGCTCAATAATATTTAGAGAAGTATGACATATTTTGAATTATGAACCAAGATTTTATTCCTGTGTCTCTTTATCCTAATACTACTTAACCCTTCTCCAGAGTACTCAGGCTGTTAGGCTTCCAGGGCTTTAGGAAAGGGGTTTTATAATACAACGGGGAGGATAAAGAGCCATTTCTTCCTGTTCATTGGCAGAAGCAGAAGCCTCGAGGGGACATGGAGCCCAAATAACAGATTCGAAGCACATATGAAGAAATCGGAGTAGAGCCTCCTGTCTGGAGGCAAAGCTCTCTTTGCCCCGACTGGGGTGGGGAGCACCTCTGAAGGGAGCTGGGTCTGAGAGAAGCACCCCCCACCCCCACCCTTTGAGTGTGAGCACCACGCCCCGTGCAGAATGCAGAACCCCGAGACCATCCTGCAGAGCTGACAGGAGCAGAGACCTCTGCCTTCTCTGCTATGAAAGACAGAACAAGGTCGGACATGCAGATGCCCAGAGGTGACCTAGAGGTCAACAGCGTTTTGATTCCACAGAATGTGCACCGGTAGTGTCATGAGTGAGCGAGAACACGATGTCCGTGCCCTGCAGACAGGCACAGAGCGAGGGCGCGCCCCGTGAAGCCTCGAGGCTGGGAGAGGGGGACAGCACAGCTCAGACCCAGGCGCTGATGAAGCCCCAGAGGGAGCGAGGCTGTCACTGTGGGTGTCCACGGTCAACGCCAAGGACCTGCTCAGACCTCCCAGAAGCTCTGATTTCCTCCTGGTGAGCTGGGACCCAAATGAAAGCGGAGGGCTGCTAAGATTAAACATGGAAAGTAAGTTCAGTGACAGGTGGAAAGGAAGCTTCACTTCTTACACTCTTGAGTTAGTTAGTGGGCATTAAAAGGGGGTTCGATTGATTCTGTCATTTGGGTCCGTGTCCCCTTGAGGCATCTGCTTTTGCCATTGAGAACACAGGCCTAACGTGGGGGCCCGGCCACTGGGCTACGTCACCAAACTGGGCTTTGACACCCTCCCTAAGTGCAATTCTGGCCTGCCCCAGAGAGGCTATGCAGTCGGACCGTTCTGCTCAGCATTGATGAGATGATCTGTCGCATCCTCTCCAAGGAGTCCACCTGAAAAGACCCTTTTGCCCCAAATGAGGGCGATCTCACCAGAAAGAATCCTTTTTTCTGTTTATGACTTTCTTGTCCTGCCTTTAAAAACCTCTCCCTTTGGAGCATCTCTCTAGTTGCTAGACGAGATGCTGCCCAATTCATGAATCATTTAACAAAGCCAATTAGATCTTCACATTTACTTGGTTGAATTTTGTTTGGGCTAGGAATGGTCCTCAGCTACATTTGTTATTATACACATACATTGCCATAAACAAATTTCTAACGAGTTATAAGACCTGCTTATTTGTTATAAACCCAAATGTATAACAGTCTTTTTACCTTAGCATTGAACACAAAGCATAGTAGGGATTGGGTCAATTTGGCTGATTCCTTTACTTGACACAGAACTTTATGTTTTATAGAAATTTATACATACTTTAGGTGTGTACCCCTACTGAGAAGAGAGTTCTTAAGTTGCCACCATTAAAAATGTCTTAAAAGTTACCAGAGCTAAAGAACAGATCATTGAAGACTGAAAGCATTTTCCAGGCTTTAAGAAAAAAAAAACTGAGTATCTGAAGGGCTTTCTAGCATGGACTTAAATATGTTGTTATTACCAATAATGCTTCATTTCAATGTGGATCTCAGAGAAGCCATCCATGCGGCATGCAAACCAGCAGCTCCAGTCGCCAGAGCAGCTGAGGTGAGTGTCAGTCTCTGACGGGGACGGTGTCCCGGGAACGTGACCTCAGAGCCACAGCTCTATCTGCAACATGCTGCGTCTCAGCAATCAGAGATCTGCCGAGCCCCAGATATGTGAGAGCAGCAGCTGAAATACAGTTTACTTCTTGCTGAAGGAAATGCAATCGCGATGCATGAAATCCAGTCTGAAATAAATGTGAGCAGGCTGGGGACACCTGCGGGTCTGAGTCACTTGCTTGAAGAATATGTCTTGGGACTGAGCTGCGGTGATTTGTACTTCCCTTGAGAATAACTGTGACTGACCACCGAGGGACATTTGGAAGTTGTCCTCTAAGTATTTATGCAGAAAGGTTTAGAAATGTCAAAGTAGTCAAATTGATTTTTATATGCTTCTTCGGTGTTCTCTTCAAGTGCCTGAATTTAAAATAGCATCTACTTCACAGTATGCAACTTATGAACCAGCTGGAATCTCTGGTTGGTCCTTGTGACAGAGAGAAGAGGCTGCCGCATAAGAATTGGGGAGAATAAAGGCCTAGCACACGAATCCAACGGAGAGTCACCTGGGAACACTTTATAGGAGGGGCTCCCTGGGCTGTGTTACTATGTATGAGCCCCACCAAGAAGCACCCCACTGTGCCTTGTTACTACATTTTGTACTTATTCACGCACAAATGCTGCTGTAATTTGATGCTCTCACTGCCTTTTCTTTGGAAAAAAGATTTCAAAGTAGATCTTACACTTGAACTCTCTAATCTGCTGTTATTGGATAACCCAGAACAAAATTACTGGAAAAATGAGAGGTTCTAATTTATTGAATACCTAGCACAGGCTAGATCCATTGCTAAACGTGTTTGTGTGTGTTAATTCATGAAGTATCTGAAGTGGATAGCAGCTCTTGCTTGCAGATAAGGAAAATGGGGTTAAGAATGTTCCTGGTTCAGCAAAATGAAGAGTCAGCTGACAGGATGAGAGGAAATATTTGCAGACCACATATCTGATCGGGGACAAATAGCCACAGTACATAAAGAACCCATACAACTCACTAGCAAAACAACAGACAATCTGATTTAAAAATGGGCTGAAGATCTGAACAGAGATGTTTCCAAAGGAGACATGCAGACGGCCAACAGGTTTATGACAAGGTGCTCTACCCTACTGGTCACTGGGAAATACAAACCAAAACCACCACGAGCTATCACCTGTGTTTATTTGTTTTTCTCTGACTAATTTCACTGAGCGTAATGCCCTTAAGGTCCATCCATATCATTGCAGATGGCAAGATTTACTCCTTTTTATGGCTGAATATTTTTATGGCTGACTGATATTCCACTGTATGTATGCCATATCTTCTTCATCCATTCATCTGTCAATGGAAAAAGTAACATGTAAGTCTACCTTTCATGCCTCTGGTTCAGAAGGGTTCCAGGCAAACACTGAGTGCTGACTCGGGGGAGAAGGGGTGTCCAGTGTGGTCCTTATGGAGAAGGGACCTTTGAAGCCTGGGCTGGTCCCTCAAGACCCCTTGCTGCTGTCTGTGATGAATACCCTTACTTTAACATTTTTGCTATATTCAATCCTTGTCCTGCAATAAACTTTACCCTTGTAAAGAATTAAATTAAATTTTAAAAAAAAGAATGTTTCTGGTCACATAGATAAACGATAGCAGCTCTGAGTTTCAAAGGCAGGTCTTTTGGACTCCAAAGTCCTTGTTTATGCTGCTATGCTATGATTTTCCTTTTCTTAAAGACAGAGGAATAGTAAATACCATGGTTCTTTAATAGCAGAGCCCCTGAGGTCAGGGCAAAATATGTACCTTGGGGCATCAGGTGAGCTTGGTGGGAATCCGGACAAACGCTCATTTCCCAGGAGCCACATGCCAGCCTCCCCGGCCCAGTGGGCTGACAGCTCCTGTCCAGACTGTTCAGAGGAGCGATGCTGTCCCTTGGGGGACCTCACAAGTCACCAGCTGAAAGAGGAATGGAAAACAAATCCGCTGAACATTTGAACACCAAACAAGCGGAGGAACGGGGATCACGGCTCCCTGCAATGGAAGTCCCGCCCACCTAGCCTGTGTCCCTTCTTGGAGGGGGCAAACGCAGACGAGGAAGAAACAGTGGCCGTGACTGGAGATGGATTCAGGCTTTCAAAACCTTTCCCAGTGAAAGCCGTTGGGCAATATAATCACCATGAGTTTTGTGGCCTGTTTTACACGCCTAGGGAACCATAACAAAGATAGAAAGCCCGTGAAAGGAAGAAAGGGATCCTTCATATACGGAGAAATGAGCGCGGTACAGGGCCCCAGGGATTAATGCTTGGAAAAAGTTTACTTTTAAAATTTTATACACAGTCTTAAGGAACAAAATCTCCACATGCACACACCACAACACGTTCTATACCAAGATAACAAGCAGGAGATTTCCCCCAAGATCATGTGAATGGGCTGGAAGATGAACTTGAAGTAGTCAAAAACTAAGTGACATATACTCAGTCACTCCCTGAACATCTCTCATTTTTTAGTTTCAAGGCCAGACACTGGAAGTAAACAAAAGACTCCAGTAACAAATGAATTCATGGTCCTTGGTTTGCAAGTGCAACATTGTGATCTATGGTTTGAACAAAATGGGTAAGAGCTCCTTCCTCTAAAGGGTCAATAGGAAAAAAACCATAATATAATAGAGAACTACAAGGAGAGATACACACACAGCATGCTTTAGCACAGGGCTTCTCTACCTTAGCCTTCCTGACATTAAAGCTGGATAACTTTTAGTTGTGTGAGGCTGTCTTGCTCACAGTGGGGTGTTTACAGCATCCCTGGCCCCTGCCCACTAGATGCCAGTCACACGCTCCTCTCCAAGTTTACACGACCCCAAATGTTTCCAGACATTGCCAGATGCCACAGAGTTGGGGTGTAAAATTGCTCTCTCTTGAGAGCCCCTACTGCTTCAGCTGCGTGCAGAGGGACATCTAACTCCACCCTGGGATGATGGTGGGGAGGGGGCAGGGCAGGAGGCCGAAGGGAGACTGAAAGCAGAATAGAAGGCAAAGAAAACGTGCTTCCTGATGTGAATTTGGAAGTCTGGTTCGGTCCGTGTCATTGAACAGGTGTTGAGTGCCTTCTCTGTGCAGGCCGTGATTTCAGGAAATGTGTTCCCCAGGGATGCCTGCGTTTGTTCATCTGTACTAGTGGCTTTAAACCATCTGGGGGTGAGATGGGGAGTTATGAAAACGGGGGTTCTGCTTTGCTGGTGGTTCCCCCCAGCACGAGCACGCACAGCCCCTGCAGGAGGGAAGGGCTGGTCGCAGGGGCACGTGCCTTAAGCTGCCGGTGTACTGGGTGAGACAACAACAAAAAATAGGTTCAGAACCTTAATCATTCAAAATATTCTTCCCAGACAATCATGCCGTGACGGTGAATCTCTGTCACATCCGGATTTTCATCCCAAGCCCCAGACCCATCTCTACACACTCTCGGATGCCCCACAGACACCCAGACTGAGCCCATCTGGAAATCAATTTATTATTTACCCTCCAAATTTCCTGTCTTCTTTTGTACCTTTAACAGATGTAAAAACTATACCTGCCCATCTAGTAACTCACCTCATCTTACATTCCACTCTCCATCATTCCTATTTAGAGTTGCTTATCAACAGGTGGACATTTTCTCTCTTTAATATATGATCTAGCATCGAATCCTTTCTTTGTTTTTCTCACTGCCTGATTTTTAAAAAATGACAGGCTTTCCTCTGCCAGTCTTCCACATTGTTGTCATAGAATGGTCAGATCAAGTCACATCCTGGTTTAGACATCTTTAAATTCCTTAATATTGCCCTGTAGCTGTAGAATAAACTGATCCTTTCCACCTAAATTCTCTTATGTTTTATCATTTGTGTTCACTTATCTGGCTTTCTTCAACCCCAAGACGGCACACCTGGTCCGTATCACTGTCATATCTCCCCTGGGGAAATGAGAAGTCCTTCTGCCATTCTCTCTGTGGTCCTTCTGGCCTCCTTATAATCTGGCCTCCACACGGTATCCAGCGTTAAGTAAAACCCTCCAGAGTTTCTCTGTGAACTGAGGACGAAATTCAGTCGTTAACATGCCCACGGGGCACTGTGAGCCGGCCTCCTGCGCAGCCCCGCCTGACCTTGCTTTCTCTCTGCCTTCCTGGGCTCCAGCCACGGCGGTTTCCTTCAGTCCTGCCCATGTGTCCAGCTCCTCCTCACCCCCAGGTCTGCCCACACGCTGTTTTCTCTGCCTAAAATACTCTTCCGTCCACATTTTCCCTAGCTAAGTCTTACTTATCCTTGGGGTATCATCTTACCAAATAATTTGTGGTTTCTCAAAAGTGCCAGGCTATTTATGTCACCATTCCTTGCTATTTTTATTTTCTCAGTACCAAATAGTCATTCTCCCATCCAATTTCTTACTGCTCTGTCCTAAAGAACCCTGTCCATAAGTTTTCTCATCCAGGAATCCTTTCTGAAAACCTTGGGTGACTTGGGTACCTCCCTCTTCTGTGTCCCTGTGGACTATGATCTGATTCCACCAACTTCATTTCAATTAAAGTCTCCTGAGAGATTTTTCTGGATGGAATTTCTCCTTCCTAGTGAAAATATTGACCAGCCACACTGATTCAGTAAATAGTCCTGTAAGAACGCAGTGCCGAGTTCCCTAGGAATTCAATTTTAAGATTCCAGGGCAATCTAAAGTCAGAAGTTTACTTTTATTGCTCAAATGTAGCAATTTTTCTCCAGTGACCCATAGAACAGAAGTCATAAGGACCACATGCTTAGTTGGACTTACATTTACAAGCTTCTGGAGTAAAATTATTTTGGATGGAACCGAGTTTTTGGTAGCCTTATTTTTTTGTTCCTTTGAGATTTGGAGAGGGTTACACAAGAAAGAGAGGTATTCACTTTGTTTTGTTTATGTTTATTCTTATTTCAATAACTCCATATTTGGGTGGATCTTATACAAAAATGTTTGCTTGCCTTTGTTGTTTTTCAGTATCTTTGGATCTACGGAGCGTCTGTGTCGATCGGTTTTAACAGATGTGCAGGGCTTGTCTGTCATTTTGCCCACCACAGAGGCCCTACTGGCTTTTTGCAGCAAGAGCTACTGGGGACAGCATTTCTCTGAGTGGGTGGGGGTGGGTGTCATCAGGCAATTTCAAAATGCCCCGCCTAACAGACTCACTTATGTCCTATGCTATCCACAGTGTTTAGGAGCAGCTATCAGAATGTACTCAACGAATCAGACTTGTAAAAATACACTCAGATTTATCCTTGGAAATTATTACAACTTTTGCTTGTCTTCAAATGACAAACATGATTTCTTTGTCTGAGAATATCAGGAAAAAGTCTGTTATATGAATGAAGACAGAGAAGCCCGGGTAAGGCATTCATGCTGCACACCTCCTCAGAGTGCAGGCAGAGGTGCTCTTGAAAGATTTCCAGAAAAATTTTATAGATCATCATTTACTCATTCTCTGCGGGAAGGATGTCTGTAGCTGCGCTGTTAATATATACGCACGTGTAGTACCCGCTACAGTTAGTGTCCCAGGTCCCAATGTCATGTGCTGTTTATTAGTGTCATGAACAGGGTGGGACGTGGCTTTGAGAGATTCTGAGGCAATTACTGTCGCTTCTTCCATTCTGAAGAGCCAATCAGAGTGGATGGAGGGAGTGGGGAGATGCCCGCCTGCCCCCCGCCTGCCCCTCGCCTGCCCCGCCCTGCCCCTGCCTGCCGTCTCTCCCCTACTCTCTCCCTTCTTTCTCAGTCTCTTTTCTTTCTGATATGTTCAAACCCCACTAGATATGTTATTCAATACTTATCTTAAATTTTCTTTACATATGTTTTGTCTCAGAAAATATGAGAGCTATGTAATATATATAATATATATTTTACATGTTTTATGTATATATATATATATATTTATGCTTTTTTCTTCCTAAGGGATAGCAATTTTATATACATTGAATTTCTTTTGGGGATTTTCTCTATGTATTATTATTTTCTCTACTTCTTTTGAACTTCTGGTTCAATTCCATTTTCCTTCTTTATAAAACCATTCATGTGTCACTGATTTTTGGCAGTGTCTTCTCTCTGTGCTGCTGTGATGTGTCCTTCATACATGTGGTTCTTTTCTTTCTCTCCTGAGCTCTCAAGTTCTCTTAGCAGAGGCTTCTCTGCCCGGTCTGTCTGCCTCACTGGTTCCTGCAAACGCTGCTTGCTTCCCGTGACACACACGTCCATCACATGAGGAATCGCGCCTTTATCAGCAGTGGGCTCCTGCTGTCAATCACCAGCTTGAAAGCAGTTGACTGAAGTGTTTTGAAAACGCACACTTCATCATGCCAGTTCATGCTATCCTGCAAGGGTGAGGGTATCTTCTTTCTTCCCATATTGTTTACAGATTCTTTAAGAGCACCGACCATCACTTATTTTTCCTTGAACCTCCAGTGCACAGCATAGTGCCTCAAATATGGTGGATACTAAATAAGAATACACTGGGTGAGTCGGAAAGGAAATTTGGCAAAAGGTGGTGATTAACGTGGTGAGAAGGAAGCAGAGAAGGTTTTACAGAGGTTACATCAAAATTTGGTTTTGAAGGATTAGGAATGTCCCAGGACAAGGCAGGACAGGAAGTCGTAAGTCACTAAGTAAGACGCCCTTATAAACAGCCCTGGGGCTGAGTCCGCCACGTGGTGATGATTCCCCTAGGCTCGGACGGCGTCTTTGAACTAATCACAACTTTCCTGTTGACGGAGTCTGGCTCTTATGCTGATGCCTGGGTTCTGGTGAGGGGCAGGTCCCACCCCAAATTCCATGAACTACAAGTGGGAGTAAATGACTTTATAATAAATAATAAAAAAAAAAAACAGAAATGGCCATGGATGTTAGGAAGGCAAAAGCAATACATGTCTAATAGGATCAGACTTTGGGGTATTTACCATCCACCCCAGTTCTTCTCTCAATATATAGAAGTTGAAAAACTTTTCCATCTAATTTTATGTAATTATGCCATTTACAAGGGACCAAATTTCCACTCACACCCAAGCAGGAGAAAAACTGCTGAAATCCTCAATGGCTTCTCCAAACCACCCGACCGCTGGTCACAGGCAGGACAGGCCAGTTCAAACACAAGCTCACTTCGAGGTCTGCAGCTCCATAGAATAAGCGTATTCTGCTGAAGTGAGACAGTAAATATACCAACCTGGACACCCCTGGCTGTTGACCTTGTCCTCGCCTGTGGCTCACTGCTCCGTGTGACCGCTCTGCAGATGGGCCCCAGGCAGATTCTCGCCTGAGGACAGTGCCTCCCTCGGAGGAGATCTGGAAATCTAAGGAGTGCCCCAACATTTAAGCAATTAATCCCAGGTCTTTGTTTTCCATGTTTGGTGTTGATCTGGGGGTTTTAGTCAATTTTTGTTGACTTGGGGACAAATATGCAGAGTTGCATCATCGTGGTCCTTAAGTTTAAACCATGGCTTGGGATTATCCATTGCTTATAGACTAGACTCAGGGCTCTCTGGCTAAACCCCACATCCTTAGATGAATGATTTCTATGTTAGCTACCTGCTTGGGTCCATGGAAGGCCGGCTGGGGAGGAAGGCGTGACCCACTTCTGCTTGCAGGCTTCATTCCAGTGGTGGTCTTTGCAGTGGGGTGGCCCACCAAGGACAGGCAGTGGGTGGTCCGCAGGAAGGGGCGGTGCATCAGGCAGCGCCCCCTCCCAGGGCCCCTCCCACCTCCTTTAGCCCCCTGTCTTTGCTCCCATATGCCCTTCAGTTTAGGACAGGAGGTCTGACCTAAGGAGGTGAGCGACTACCTAAATTTTCAATGACTGAATTTTGGCCAAAGGCAGATAGAGTCGCTCTTAGCCAAAACATATTTTCTTCTATTTCTGTGTTCTCCAGCTTAAGTTTTGTCTTTCTCGTTGGATTTCACCGAAAGCTTCCAGGAATGGTAACCACAAACCTGGTACTTTTTATGAGGTCGCTCCAGCTCCAGGCTCCGGGAAGCGTGAGATGGGTCGATATGAGATGGATGGGTCACTTTCCCACCGCACACGGGCACTGCTAGTTCCTCGGGTGAGACAGGGTCTCATCCCTGCCCAGAACTCCATCTTGATGTAGACACATCCGTATTTTAGGGTCCACCAGGTGTAACATTCTATTTCCAAGTACTGATTTCTGTATTATTTGGATTCTTTTAAAGACATAATTGACAGAAATTCAACTCAAACCACCTTACCCAGAAAGGGCTTCCGGCTGAATCCAGATGCCCAGTGATGGCTTTCTCCATCTGTCACTTCTACTTTGCCCATGACGACTTGATTCTTTGACTGAGTGTCCCCTAGTCCTGGCATAATAGTGTGATTTGCCTCCCCAAGATGAGCAGCTTTATCAAGCAAAGCCTTCTGACGTTTCCTGGCTGCATTAGTTCTCTAGAGCCACCATAACAAATAACCACTAACTGGGTGGCTTACAAGAATAGAAATTCGTTTTTTGCAGTTTCGGAGGCTTGCAGTTCAGAACCAAGGTGTGTGGGGCCACGCCTGCTCTGAAGGGTCTAGGAGAGACCCTCGTCCAGCGGCTGGCGGTTCCGCGGCTGGTGACCTCAGAGCCCCCACCCGCCTCTGTTGTCAGGAGGCCTCCCTCCCCGCGTGGCCACACTTCTGTCTTATAAAGATACCAGGCGCGGGGCCGGGGCCGGGGCCGGGCCCACTCTATTCCAGCACAATTAAATTTCAACTTGGTTATATCTGCAAAAACCCTATTTCCAAATAAGGTTATATTCTGAGGCTCGGCAGATAGGAATTTTGCAGGGAGACAGGATTTGACCCAGCACGTTAGGGGTCACCACCTTCTCTCTCTGCCAGGAGCATTTGTCCTTGCAACGGAACTAAACTGCTCTAATTCAGCCCGTTTTTAGATGACTGTCACCTCAGAGGGGAGTATGATCTAAGGTGCCCCTGTCTCATTGTCCCCACAGCATGCCTTTCGGGCCTCTTTCTTTCCACTTATCACAACATCTGACTGTTTTTCTGCTTGTTTACTTTCTCTGTAATTTCCCTGAGATTGCAGAGCCCATGCCTGTTTTATTTATACTT